GACCTGAGCTGGAAGACGCAGTTCTGTACAGATATTTGAAGCACAAGAGGACCTGGCACAATAATTTAGATATTTCCCATGGAGAGCAGAACTCTGCATTCCCCTTTTTCTTCTCTGAGAAGAACCTTCTCTGCCTCTAAGCTCAACTATAAATTAATTTAACAGGGTTCTGAGCCAGCAGATCAGCACTCCTTTAGTCAAATAGCCTTGAAGGAACTGAAAGTCAGTTGCCAGTTTTTCTTGCTGAGATTAACAGGCTTAATTAGGTAATGAGGCAGAATGGAGATTTAATTAATAGCTTTAGAATTAATAGATCATTAAATTGGATATTAGCACCACACCTCTGTGAGCCATGGGGCGATACAGGAATATGAATCCACTCTGCCAGTATCAGCACATACCGTGAGTACTGGCAAAGTATTAAAAATGGATTATTTGCAAGGGTGGAACTGCCAAGGTACCGCATTCCAAACAACCCCAAACGTGAACTCAGGAGCACCGACCATACTAAGAAACAGGTCTATACACATCTCCACTGTACTTGCATTTTCAGAAGGCCCAGCTGCCACCACACCCCTTTTTCTCTCTTTGTCACAGAACAAAAGTGTTATTCCAGGCTGTCTTTGCCTGAATACACACTTGCCACACCAGTGAGTGCACATCACTGTGTCCTTCTCACCTCCACAAGCCTCTTGGTCCTTGCTGAGGTTCTTCACCTCTTTGCAGCAACTCAGACACAGAGAAGAAGGTCCAAATGTCTCCTCGGAGCTGGGGTGGGGTGATTTATGGACAAATCCAGCAGCTCTATCAATGCTGCTACATCAGCTCTTCCCACACCTCGGGGCTTCAGGTGGCCCAGTAGCCCTCAGAGTCCTTCAGCTGGTCAAGCAAGGTGGGTCTGACCTGGCAAACCTGCTTGGCTGATGGGTACATTGTGTGGAGCCTGAGAGGTGGACATTGGTTAGCTTCGATACAAAGCTAAATTATACACAGACACAGAAGCTGTTGTTACACCTTGGGCTGCAATTTCACATACCTACAGGTTTATACTGAGGAGAACAGAGCTCATATATTAAAGAGCATTAGTTCTATTTTGTTTTTTAGATGAAAGATGGCCGGTAAGATTACAGCAGTGTAATTACTCCTGAGCTCCAAGCAAATCTCATTAAGTGGCGGGGAAGAATTCTTCAGCTTTGGAATTATTTGTGTGTATAATTATTTAATCACCACCTTTTGTTGCACTGTAGCTAGAAAATGTAACCAAACTGATCCATAAGAGAGGAAATCCATATGACAAGAGAGCTGGGTTTTGCTATTAATTATTTAAGAATGAGGGTAGGTATTCAGGATGCAAATGGGACATGAGTAAACTGAGGTCACTGGCTATGGGTTCCCCCTGGGATCAGGGTGAAATTGGCTGAAAAGGAATTCATTGGGGAGTGTGGAAAAGGCAAAAAAGAGAAGAGAGCCATTGTAATGCCAATGGAAACTGGAACATGCAGTGGTGGCTGAATACGGCATCTCCATAGCAGTGAGGTTTCTAAACTTCCAGTGCCCTCAAAGCACAACTAGAGATGGCAGAGCTGCCCAGTTGATGAAATGTGAGCATTTATGGAAAGGTGAACGCATGGGTAGATCTCCAGGCTCCACCAAATGTGTCTGCTGATTCTAGGAGAAACTCAGACCATGTATTTTTGGACACCCAAGTTTGGCTATCTCAAACTGGAACGGAATCTAACCCCTATGTCCTCCTTTCTCCTGTGGCAACCACAAAGCTACATGACCAAGCCCAGCTTTCAGGCACAATGAGTTGTTTTGCTTTGCTGAGTGAGTAACAGGACAAACAAGCAGGGATTTTAGGTTCTAAGAATTGGTTACTGGAGAAGATTGTCATAAATATAAGATAAATCCTGAGAAACAAAAGGTGGATGTGTATGGGAGGGATTTCAAGAAGAAGTGGAGTTCCTTTGATTTTGGGAACTGGTGGAAGCATCAGTTTTTATGGAAAACCACAAATTCTATTATTAATTTAGACTGGTTTTCATATTTTTTTTTTTTCTGTTGTCTCGTGCTCTACTCGACCCGCAGTCATGAGGTTTCCTGCATTTAGGATAGCACAGTCTGAGTAAATAATCTCCAACAGCTCCAAACACAGGGAGAGGAGTTGGCTGCAAGAAAATAATATTTGATTTTATTTTTTTTAGTAGGGATGAACATAGGGAATCAAGTAAATGTAATGTGCAAAACTGAGGTACTTCTGTGGTCTGAGCAGTGCAATAGCATCAAATATACAATGAAAGAGCAGACAGTGGTGATCTGGGCTCTTAGTTCCTTATTTCACCCTCAGTCTTACAATTAGGCAATGAAAAAGCCCTTGGTAATATTAACCCTCCAGTTTAAGCAGTTTTGGAACTAGATTTCGAGGTGACAGCACTTAGACTGCACAGGAAACCTGTGCCAAAATGTGGTTATCCAGGATCCAAAGCTGCCTTAAGTTTGCACTCACTCTCATATTTTAGCCTATTTATTTTGCTGCGTGGTGGTGGTTGTTGTTCTCTTCCAAGCACTGTCATCCTGGAATTGCTACGATAAAATCTGTGGAAAAATGAAGGTTAAGGATAATGCTTTGCTACAATCTGTGGTAATAATAGAGGCTATTTCCTTTCAGACAAGTGAGCTTTCAGACCAATTTAGAAAATTATAGCATGGCACAGATGAGAGCAATAGCAATTAAACCAGCTTCCTCTTTTAGATTTAATCTTAGTATGCAAAGCGGGTGTGTAAGGATTGGGGCACAGCACTGGGATTTCTAAAACCAGAAAATCAATAAAGCCGCCGACAACAACAACATCAACGTGCTAGAAAAAAAACAAAACAAGATGAGGAATCTCTCAGATAATGCTTTGGTATTGCTTTACGTGAGGTGAGTTTAAATCTAAAGCTCTAAGTACCAAGCCTGGGATTCCTTAGCTGGGCCAGGCTCTGCTTTACGTCAGTTTGTTGCTCTGTATGTAAAGCAACAAATTCTTTAGAGGAAAATATAAAATCCCTGCTGTTTTTTTCTTCATATTTTCGGCTTTCACCTGGTGAGGGAGGATATTCTGATCAGTGCCTATGTATTCTGATCGTTGGATGCCTATAAATACATCAAGGGTGGGTGTCAAGAGGATGGGGCCAGTCTCAATGGTGCCCAGTGACAGGACAAGAGGGAACGGGCACAAACTTGGACGTAAAAAGTTCCATCTAAACATGAAGAGGAACTTCTTTACTTTGAGGGTGGTACAGCCCTAGAAGAGGCTGCCCAGAGAGGTGGTGGAGTCTCCATCTCTGGAGACATTCAAACCCCACCTGGACACATTCCATGGGAGCTGCTCTGGGTGACCCTGCTCTGGCAGGGTGTTGGAGGAGATCATCTCCAGAGGTCCCTTCCAACCCCTGTCATTCTGTAATTCTGTGATATCTCTTTCTCTGTCTTTAAAATAATTCTTTGATGTAAGGCAGCTGGGGTCCAGGTGATGTGAAAGGGGATGTTGGATGACTTTTTTGCAGTTTTGATCTTATATTTTAAAAGGGTATCGCTAGAGTATGAGGGCTGACTAGAGTTTGAGCTTGAAAGACAGTCTACTCTCATGTAAAACATAAATTCCCTTTAATTAAAGCTGTCAAGAGAAAGCATTAGTTGCAGAAACCAAAGTGTGGATGGTCCAGAGAGTGAGGTTTTCTGCAGTGTTTATTTTGAACAAGCTTTCTATACACTGGAAAAAAACCCCAGAGCCAATGAGGTCCCTATAAACTTTTATAAAATATTTGTGTTGGTAACTCCTTTAATTGCTTCAGCTGTCAATCACTCTAATTGTTAGTTACTTCTCATTCCCACAAATTATGTGAGGCATATTATTCTGCGCATCTTGCTGTCATATCTCTACCAGCTGCATACATTCCTCTGGTTGTTAGATTGATTTCACGGTCACGAAATGTAAATAAAATAATCAGTATTTTTTTTTTCTTTTTTGGCTTTAGTTTTAATAATTTGCCACAAGAATGTAGCTAAGAGGGGTTTTTTTTATGGAAATGTGATTATGTGAATCGGAGTACTGGCATTTGTCAGGCCTTGTGAATTTATTCTAGCTGAAGTTACGGACCTGTACTTGAGGTAATGTTTCCTCTGGATCCTCTAGCCCCACAGGTAATGTATACTGTTCCTTTCCTCATATGGGCCTCCAAAAAGCATACTCAGAAAGGAAAATCCAATTTCTTTCTTGTTATAAGTATTTTTTGGCTTTTACTCTGAAGGCACCTTGGAAGGGGATGATTCCTTGAGATGGGGAACTCATGATAAAGTGTAAAATCTTGGACAGGTCCCTCTCCTTGGCTGAATTTCTAATGGGATTATTGTGCCTGATCCTAGTGCTCACAGGAGAGTCTGTGGCCTGCTTTGGCATCTCTTGCTTTCCACTTACTTAGCACGTGGTATAGTCATGTAGGAGAACATCCATCCAAAAGACAATCCCAAGCTGTAAACTCCAATGCCAAAGCCCCTGGAGTGAGTACACAACATCCATGGACACTAATGTCTATTTAATGTTAAAAGATTTCCTACCTTTAAAGAGGAAAATTCCAGAAGGCCACTGGTTATTATTACCCAAGATGACAAATTATGAACTGGAATCCTGTGTTTACCAGCAGCATGTAGTTTATCCATCTCTGAGCTACCTTCACAAATACTACCTAATATTTAAGAGAAAACCAACCTCAACGTATCGTGAGTTTTTCAGCAAAAAGTCAAGATGAGTGATGTGCGCGCATCCTGCTGTGTGGGCTTGGAAATTATCTAATAATCATACACTGTTATCAGAACAGTTGCAACAAAGGAAGGCATCACCGGGGGAAAACATTCGGTTTCATAAGATGTAGAGAGCGGTTGCGTAAAGGTATCTCCCAATTTCTATTATCTATGACAGCATATAAAAGTGCTCGTAACTCGTGTCTCCGTAGCTGACTCTGCTGACTTATTCTGCTTGGGGACTGGGTAAGTCTGATTTAACTGAATCCATTCATAATTACAGAGGTGGATTTATAGGTAGCTGTAATACGAGGTTACATGTCGTACCCAATTTTAGGGTAGGACCTTAATCTCTAAAAACTGTAACTTGCAAATAGGATGGATATAGGCGTCGCCATGTGTGGCGGTAAAAACGAACGGGAGTTTCAAAATTATGGATGGGAGCAATTCCTGGGATTAGAGCATCTGTCTATGGAGAGAGGACACCCCAAAAACATTGGGATAGGACTCCCAGACAAAAAAGCACAGCAAAGGCAATGACGTGAGGGAAGGAAAGGCACATTCTTTCCAGAACTCCTTTAGGGAATGGGCTACAAGGCAATGGAGCAATAGAGAGGGGTGGGAGTAGGCTTAGAAACCTCTACCCAGCACTTCATTGAGCTTGATTGGCGAGATCTTGTAACAATTCTACTTCGGAGTAGAATGCACTGTGCTTTGAAATGATGAACTTTTTTCACAGAATCACAGAATCACAGAATCTTCTAGGTTGGAAGGGACCTTAAAGATCATCTTGTCCAACCGTCAACCTAACTGACAAAAATAGACACCCACACAACAAACAAGGAGCATCATCACTAAACCATACCTCCCAGCACTTTTGATATTATTATTTTATTTTTTTTAATCACTAACTCTTAACTTTAGTGTAAATGACTCAGACATATGTATCTGCATCTGAATACCTTTCATCACATCTATACAACCCATGTTACTACAATACAGTTTGTTCTCTCACTCTTCTGGCCGTAACTTTACCAGGCTAGTGCACCCTTTGCCTTTCAGGTTAACTTCCCTTCTGGAAAGATGTCTTCCTACGGGCAGCTGATTAGCTCCCGCTGTTCTGCGCCATGTGAAGTGACCTGCTCGGAACCATATGTCAACTTCTGCAGTGAACCATGTGTCAGCTCATGCGGAGATTCAAGAGCAATCGTGTACGCGCCACCCGTCGTAGTGACTTTCCCGGGACCCATTATCAGCTCATGCCCTCAGGAAAGTGTTATAGGAAGTTCCATTCCTGAAATTGGGGGTCATATGGGCTCCGGAGGTGGAGGCATGGGTTCTGGAGGCGGAGGCATGGGCTCCGGAGGGGGAGGAATGGGTTCTGGAGGCGGAGGCATGGGCTCCGGAGGGGGAGGAATGGGTTCTGGAGGCGGAGGCATGGGCTCCGGAGGGGGAGGAATGGGTTCTGGAGGCGGAGGCATGGGCTCCGGAGGGGGAGGAATGGGTTCTGGAGGCGGAGGCATGGGCTCCGGAGGGGGAGGAATGGGTTCTGGAGGCGGAGGCATGGGCTCCGGAGGGGGAGGAATGGGTTCTGGAGGCGGAGGCATGGGCTCCGGAGGGGGAGGAATGGGTTCTGGAGGCGGAGGCATGGGCTCCGGAGGGGGAGGAATGGGTTCTGGAGGCGGAGGCATGGGCTCCGGAGGGGGAGGAATGGGTTCTGGAGGCGGAGGCATGGGCTCCGGAGGGGGAGGAATGGGTTCTGGAGGCGGAGGCATGGGCTCCGGAGGGGGAGGAATGGGTTCTGGAGGCGGAGGCATGGGCTCCGGAGGGGGAGGAATGGGTTCTGGAGGCGGAGGCATGGGCTCCGGAGGGGGAGGAATGGGTTCTGGAGGCGGAGGCATGGGCTCCGGAGGGGGAGGAATGGGTTCTGGAGGCGGAGGCATGGGCTCCGGAGGCGGAGGAATGGGCTCTGGAGGTGGAGGCATGGGCTCCGGAGGTGGAGGAATGGGTTATGGTGGTTCCTGTGGCGGAGGTAGCTCCTATGGGATGGGTTCCCACCATGGTTCAGGAAGTTCTTGTGGTGGCATTGGAGGGGGCTCATATGGGGGGGAGAGCTCATGTGGTGGTGGAAGCTACCGTTTGGGAAGCTTTTACCGGAACTCGCTTTACTCAGGATTTGGTAGAAATTATTTCCCCTATTTTTCCAGAGGGTACTATAGGTATCGCTATGGAAACTATGGGCCATTTTAAATCTTTAATAAAGAGTCAAGACTGAAGGAACAACAAGATACAAACTAGTAGTTGACATATAGACCTGGAAAACAGACATGCCAAGCAGCCTCCGCTCCAGCCAATGGCAGTAGGAGCTGGGTTTGCTTGGGATTTATTTGCGCTATGTTTTACCTAAGGCTTACAATCCCAATGTTGCCTCACTTTGTCGTTTGCTCATGTTATGTTTTGTTCTTTCTGAACCTGAAGAGAGTAAAAGCAAGTAGTGGGACTTGACTGTGAAAGTATCCAACTGAAAGAAGAATGTCTCCTGAGCCCTGTGCTCCTCTGAAGGCCTGATTGGTTGTTGTCTTTGTTGAAATGGAAATTACATTCTTTGTCTCTGCATTGCCTCATTCTGCAAGAATGTAGTCCACTTTTTGTTTGTATTAAAGCCCCGTTGCATCACAGCACTGTCTTCTGGCTTTCATTTCCCTGCAGTTTCTTAGTTGCAAACGGCTTTGAAAGAAGTTAACTTTGTGGATCAAGTCTTATGTGTTAATCAAGGACTATCATCAGAGAAGAATTAATTCCTCTGTATGGCCAATATAATTTTTCAGAAATACTTTATGATAGTATTTTTTCCCCTTTCTGACCTATACCATGGCATACATTACTAACTAGAAAAGAATCGTGAAATAATTTAGGCTCGAACAATCTCTGGGGATGGTCTAATGCAGCACCCACTCAAAACCAAGGTAACTTTGAAGCTAGGTCAGATATTCAGGGTCATTAAAAGTCATTCCTTGAATATCCCAAAGGAAATTGTTTTAACCCCCAGTGAAAATTAAAATGACTGCACGTCCTGATTCAAGCAAAGGGCAAAGTTGTTCCTTGATTGATGTAGCCTTGATGGTAAAATAGTTTATCTGATTACAGATTGCAAAGGGAAATGGGTTAGCCTGGATCTGAGTACTGTAGACTGTCAAGGCCACAGAAACGGGAAGAAGTTATCTGTATGGAGTTGAGAATCAGAGTACAAATCTTGCACCCTGTGACATGCCTTGGAGTAAGCTGAGATATTCACCCCAGCAGCTGTATCGGTGTTTTCTTTAGAAGCCGTTTTGATTGTGCTGCTGTTGGCAACAAGAGAGGGCTCTGCGTAGGCTGAGGGAGTGCTGCTGTGCCAAAGAAAACATTCATTTCCTTCCTTTGATTGTCTTAATCCTTGTGGTTTGTTAACTTAATTGAAGCATTTATGCAGTAAATGATCTGAGCTTGTTAAGCATCACCATGGGATCCCTCAGGCAACAGCTACATCGATGCACTTGTGCTCTCTCAGAATTAAGAATCACAAAAATGCACAATCATTGCCAGAACTATCTGAGAAAGAGATTCTCCCACCACGACTTTGCATTTGGTTTTAAATTTTTTTTTTTTTTTTTTTTCCACTGGTGTCTGCAAGCCTCTGATGAAAAGGGAATTTCCATCAGAAAATCTTAGGAAAGTATTAAAATAGTTCTACTCATATTATGCGTACAACGTGCTGCACCACAACATGAACAGAATATTGCTTGAGTTATATCATCCAGCAGTGATTGTGTTACTTTGTGAGAAGCCTATCAAGCAAAGTGACAATGTTCCACTAGCCAGATCATAATCCACAGACTTAAGTCTCTGGATTGTTTTTTAGATTGTTAAAAGAGCAGGATTGCTTTTATTTGGGTGTAAATCCAAGTCTCTGGATTGTTATTTAGATTGTTAAAAGAGCAGGATTGCTTTTATTTGGGTGTAAATCCTTCCTCCTAGTGTGGAATTGGTATTCTCAGCTGCTCAAAGATGCGTGCAGAGGTGTGTGTGTGTAGACACTGGGGTCTCAAAGTATGGAAGGAGTTACTGAGCTGCTGTGACTCCAGTTTTACTCTCAGCTCAGGAACATCTGCCTTTGCTCTCGTGCACCGCACAGAAGGTTGTGGCAGCAGAGGCCCAGCAATTTTCACTCTCCTTACTCAATGTCTCACTCTCCTCAGCCTGTTGAGTCAGATCTCTGTGGGGGTGGAGCTTTCCTTTGTAAATTGTGAGGCATCACCTTCACTGAAGTCATGTCACGGCAGTTTGTACAGACATTCCTGGCTCAGCCTCAAAAATCACTGACACTGGTCCTTTTAGTGCTGTGCGAGCTGAATGTAGGTACGACTCCCACTCATCCTCTGCAAACCACATTAACCAAAACCTTCTTAAATTGAACTGAGAAGTCAGGAATGACTCTTTCCAGGCTCAGCCACTAAAACATGTAGAAATGGTCTGAAGTTGCGGCAAGGGAGATTTAGATTAGATATTAGAAAGAACTACTTTACTGAGAGGGTGGTCAGGCCCTGGAACAGCCTGCCCAGGGAGGTGGTGGAGTCACCATCCCTGGAGGTATTTAAGAAACATATAAACATGGCTCTTCAGGGCATGCTCTAGTGCCCAAGGTTATTGGTTATGGTGAGGTGTTGAGTGTGGGGTTTAGTTGGTGGGCGTTTGGTGTGGTGTGTTTTGTATTTGTTTGGTGGTGTTTTGTTTTGTTTTGTGGGTTTTTTGTTTTTTTTTTTGTGGTTGGACTCGATGATCTCAGAGGTCCCTTCCAACCACTAAGATTCTGTGATTCTGTGATTCTGTGAAATACTTCCCCACACAGAAAAAACAGTGAGATTGGTGTTTTTATGCTGCCCCTCATCAAGGTATTGAATTCTGCTTCCCTTTACGTACATGGAGCTCCACCTCCCATTTTGAGACCCACTGAGTTAAATTTCACTAAAGCTAGTTTATAAAGCAGCATGGAAGAAAAGGAAAACCAGAAATCGAGTGATATGATTCAGCAAGACTTTTATTATGACATGCAATAATTGCAACAGAATGGAATGGTGAAGTTCATTAATGGTCTATCCCGGAGTCCAAAGGCAGCCAGACCATCCATGTCGATGAATGAAGGCACTGCACATCACAAGGTAAAGCTGAAATCTTTGCTGCAAAGTCCCACTTGCAAATTCCGAAGCATTTTCACTCCACCAGAAAGGACATAGGAGTCAGAAAGGAGAGAAGCCATCACACGAAACTGCTATTGACAGAAGATGAGGCATGACATGGAAGATGGATGCAGGCCCAGCTTCAGAGGTACCGAGCAAGGGCGGCTCCCGTTGATGCAATGGGGTTTTGCCATCTCTGAAAGCCAGCCCCAGCTGTGGATCCGGATCTTGTGTTTTCACCTCCCAAGCTGTTGTATGGGTGTTCGGGCTGCTTAGAATGAGCCACAGTTTCCAAGGCGGGAGGCACGGCTGCTGTAGGACCGCTTGCTGTAGCAGCCTCCCACCCCTGAGGAGCCTCCATAGCCAAAGGAGCCCCCAGATCCAAAGGAACCCCTCATCCCTGACATACCTCCATACCCACAGGAGCCCCCCATTCCTGACATGCCCCCAGAACCAAAGGAACCCCCATAGCCAAAGGAGCCCCCAGATCCAAAGGCACCCCCCATCCCTGGCATGCCCCCAGAACCAAAGGAGGCCCCAGATCCAAAGGAGGCCCCCCCCATGCCATTGGACTCATCAGAGCCATACATCAAAGCACCAACAGGCTGGGGAATTGATGTTCCCACAATGCTCTCTTGAGAGCAGCTGCTAAGAGTTGGGCCTGGGAAGGTGATGACAACTGGTGGGGGGTACACGATGGCTCTGGAGTCCCCACATGATGCAACACAGGGCTCAAGGCTTCTGCTGTAGGCACATGGCTGTGAGCAGGCCATCTCACAGGCGGGCAAGCACTCAGAGCTAATTTTGTTTGACATCATTCTTGGGGAGTGGAGGTGAAGCTGGGAAAGACAACATGCAGTCAGCAAATCATCACAGTCAGGTGCCAACGGGTTCCCGGCATGAGCCTGATGCACCTTGTCCTTCTCCTCCAGTTGCTCATCAACTCCCAGTTCAACCCTCCCTCACAGTCTCCATTTTCTCTGCTATTTCCTTCTTGACTGACCCCTTTTAAAGCTTCTCAGTTCTTCTTCTTCCTCTATGTACCATCTCTATCTCTTATTCTTTTCAACCTCTCAAAATATAGTACTCTTTTCTCTGGGACTAAATTATCTGATCTTTAAACATTTACTTGTTCAGAAAACTCCCATTCATTCTCTTTTCAAAGTAGACCCACAGGAAGATTTTTCTGTAACTTCAGAAAGTCTACAGAGGAAAGTAACAAAATTCCTTGCTCTGTTTATCCCTTTCCCCCAGCTTTTCTAACAATCCTTGTTAAATCTACTCTTTTCTTTATCTCAGGTTTTCTAAAATTGTTAGCATTTTGCAAGATAAAAAGGAAGTAAGCTTAAAGTATTCTATTTGTAACAGAATTTTTAAATATTCTATAGCTACAATGAAGTGCAATAAGGTTAGGCTTACCTGGTTTTCTTGGAGGAATAAGTCAGTGGAGCTGGAAGAATAGAAGACTTCTTAGTTCTCTACTCTTTTATATACTTTCTTAGACAATAGGGGGAATATGAGGTCATCCACTAGTCATGAAATTCTTGTCACTTACCAAGAAAAAGATACTCTCCTAAGCCTTGTGATTGTTTTCATTTCAGATCATAATTAGTGATCCATTTCCAGCCCTATTTTGAGTGACATATATCCAACACCCAGCAGTTTCCTTTTGTCTCAAACTTAATGGAAAAAATCCTTTTGGCATCATTTTGGTCCGACTAAAAGAGCAGTTGATCTCTCTGTTTACTTCTCTTTAATGGCTTTAAGGAAGGTGGCTTACTGATGTGCCAGTCCCACAATTTACTTGTAAGCCTCAGATTTAGGTATAATACCTCCCAAGTGGAATTGTCCAACCCCACCTTTGATGGGGGGTCAGCATTTTTTGCAACCCCACCTGTATCTATTGACTGAATGGATGATACAGCACCATGACAGAATCAGGCCTCACAAATTATTCTTGAGCACTGGCCAGGACAAGGCCCTGCAAAAAGTCTTCCAAAGCCCAGCTCAATGTGATTGAAGTGACACATGACATCTCCTTTAAGCTCTGAGTAATTTTACCCAAGAACATATCAAAATTTGCTTTGGGATGTTCTGCTTAGAGCCTGGTGATGAGGTGCCAGTGGGGCCACTGCAAGGGCAACCCCAGTGATCACCAGGTCTTTTGGATCCAAAGTAGGTCTCCAACTTAGAAGTGAGATTGAACTTCAAAATGGTCTGATGTTGCTCATTATTGGGGTCAGGCCATTCTGGAAAGCAGACTTGCAGGGTTGATCCTTCTGGAGGTGCCTTCCTGGTAAATCATTCACAAAAAATAGTAAGCAGTGGTCAATCCATTTCCATTGTAAATCCAGTGGAGTCAGCGGAATGATAATGCATAGGAATTGGCAATATAATTTCAACACAATAAAAAGCCCAAATTTATTATACGAGAGTCATACTGTGAATAGC